TGAGCGCGCAGCCTCAGCCTCGGTATATAAACGTCCTGCTCCTGATCGTTATAACTTTAGGCTGTTTCTGCAGAGAAGAGAAGGAGGGCGGCATCTCGCCAACTGGACCCCAAGAAAGACTAAGGTACGCAGACAATCCTTTATGTCATGCTTTCAGACGCATTTCCTTGTTTTCTAGCCAGGGGTTCACGAAGTGGATTCTATTCTTTGCAGCATGGAATAAACTATATCCACCACTGAGCCACAGATCTGTCTTTACGCGCAGATGTTCCACACTTTATCCATCCTCACCGCAGCGTGCCATCACTGTGTCTTTTCCTGCGTACATTGTGTGTTTCTGTAACCAAGTGGTTTTCATTTTATTTCATGCATCAAGTCACATTTTCATCCTTTCTAGCCAGGGTTTAACTTTTATTCTTGGTAAATGCAGCATGGAATAAACGGTGTGCAATATTGAGACCAACATCTCTCTTTACGCGCAGATGTTCCACATTGTGCTCCATCTCTATATATCTGTTCTGCAGTTTAGATAGTTGCAACACTTTAATCCATCGGTGTCTTTTTGGTGCGTAAATGTAAGGCTCCAAGTGGATGTGTTCTTGGTGTCTGCTCTGTCTTCTCAAACTTGTATTTGCAGCATGGATTTATATTTAAATTGTCCATTACTGAGCCAAACACTTTTAACGCGCAACTATCCAACATTCCTGGAGATGTTATTCACAATATAAATGTTGTTTTGTGTGCGTAAACTAAGATAATATAGGACTTTATTTATCCCGAAGGAAATGGTTGTGCCAGAGTTACAACAATAAACACATTAAACTCCTCAGCACATTTCATCGGAGAGTTTTGATTTAAAATACTAACGTGTGTTTCCCTCCGCAGATTCCTGCTGATATCCTGACATGAAGCTCAATTCATTTGGCACCACCGTGATTCTGCTAGTTGCCTTCTTACCGCGCTACGAATGTCGGGCCATTGAGAGTCCTGGCGGTGCCCAGCAGCAGCAGCCCGGTCCCGTAGTGGAGCGGCTCGGGGAGGAGTATTTCATCCGGCTGGGGAACACCGGGGACTCTTCTAACTCTTTCCCAGCCATGATGCTCCCCTCCGGGCTGAACAGAGCGCTGCAGCTGACGCGGCGCCTCCTTCAGGGGAAAGTTGGGAACATCAGGGCGATCCTTGGAGACGATGAGGAGTCCATGGAGAGAGGAAGGAGGTCCGAAGACCCTCCGATCTCTCTGGACCTGACCTTCCACCTGCTGAGGGAGATGATGGAGATGTCCAAGGCGGAGCAGATGGCGCAGCAGGCGCAAAACAACAGAAGAATGATGGAGCTGTTCGGGAAGTGAAGCGCCAAAGATCTCCTCCTCCTCCTCTTCCTCTTTCTGCCGCATCTCCACCATCAGCGCTGCTGTGTCTCTTATTTAAAGCTGCAACCTCAAACTGCGGAGTTAATGTCGATCACTTATTCTTCACGACAAACACTCTTTGTTTTAGATTCTGAACCCTGTATTTATGAGATTTATGTTTGTTAATAAACTTATGTGCAACCAGTCATTTTCTGTTGTGCAAGACAACGTCTTATATCTATATTTTAAATAAAAAAAATGAAAAGCAATGCTTACACTTCTCTGTGGATATCCTTACATATAAAACCCAGCTGCTGATGATCAATAAACATGTTCATTTCCAATGTTACATTTTGAGGAAAGTGAAACGCAAAAAAATCGCCTTCACTGATATGAATATAAACAACATGGTGTAAAACACACACACACACACACACACACACACACACACATCCACTGCGCCACAAGCCTCCCTACACACACACACACACACACACACACACACAGTTCAGTCCAGTTTAACGAAAGGAGAAAGCAGACACTGTTTGCAGCTTTAATGAACATGCCTACAGGCGGCATGAAATGGTGAAAATGTCACAGTGATAAAGTTTTATCAGTCATAAAAAATAATACGAGCGGGAGGGAAAGCTAATGGAGCAGAGCAAGGTCAGAGAGACAACCAGGACATGTGGAGGAAAGCAGAAACACTCGGGATGTAACGATACCAAAAACTCACGGTACGGTATTTATCGCGATATTGAAAAATAAAGGGGGAAAAAATGGACTCGGAAAATGTTTCTTTATTACATAATAAATGTGATTTTAGTAGGATAGTATTTTAAAGTGTCGAACACAAAGTGACAGTAACAGACTGGAACAAGAAAACCAGTGTTTTGTACCTGCTACCAAACAAAGTAGGCATTTTTCTTTGTGCCGCTGCATCTCACAAATAAACATTTAATAATCAGACCCTGCAATAAAATAAATCAAGTTTCACTTTAGTTTTCCAAGTAACTCAACTCAAACTCACTAAGTCTCTCACTAGTCTCTCACTCGGCGTCATCAGACAGGTTCTTAGGAATATGAGAATGTCCACATTTCCAGGTATTTAGAAGCTGGGATGTTTGGGCGTTTACAAAATCCCCTGCTCTGGAAAAGACTCTCTCGCTTGGTGCTGGTGTTGCTGGGACAGCAGTGGTCGCGTTAACCGAATATTTTATTTATCAATGACGGAAAAATCTGAAAGCAGTCATTTTGACAGATTAGAACTAACTCGGAACAGCGCCAACGTTTCCCCGCAGCGAGGCTCTGGTGTTATGCCGTGTTATGCATGCCCTCCAAGAGGAAATGATATAGCTTCCAAACCGTACTTTGCCGTACAGATCAACACATGTCTGGGAGGTTTTGCTTTACGCTGTGCGCGCTCCCGCGAGGTGCATGCACACACGGCATAACACCGCCCCCCCCCCCCCTTGACAGTACACGAGCGTGCTCTCTCTCTCTGTTCAGACCCGACGGGTAAATAAGGGATTATGACGGATATTTTCCGATCCTGTCTGTCAAAATGACGGACAGCAAAAAAGTCTAACGCCACCTCAGTGGGACGGAGAGATATGCTTTGGCCATGGGTGACAGCAGTGGGTCAAACTGTGCATTGTCTCTCCACCACTTCAACAACAATACAGTTGTTGCCAAGAAGGTGAGGCTTATTGACAGAGATATAAATATACTGTTGGTACTTGTCCATGTCTCTAGGTGTGTTCATGTAGCCCTGTAAATACCATGTCCTTTTGTGTTATCTGTTGTGTTCATGTTGTAACCTACTTGCTGCCATGTTGGACAGGTCTCTCTTGAAAAAGAGATCGATGATCTCAACGGGACCACCTGGTTGAATAAAGGTTTAAAACTAAAAAAAGTGTTTAAAAAAAACAAACACATTTTTAAAATGAATTTTTAATAAAAATCGCGGTAGATTTTGTCAGTCTCACGACGGTACTGGGACGTTTATTTACCGCGATATTCGGTATATCGTTACATCCCTAAGAAACACTGATCCTTTAGTCACCGAAACACAGTCTCTTCCTCAGACACCTGGAGAAACACCTGGAGAAACGCCTGGAGAAACACCTGGAGAAACACCTGGACAAACACCTGGACAAACACCTGGACAAACACCTGGAGAAACACCTGGAGAAACACCTGGAGAAACACCTGGAGAAACACCTGGAGAAACACCTGGACAGCCTCTGATGTTTGGTGTTTTTCAGGTAGAGGTGGAGGCTGAGGGAGACGTGACAGGAGCCTCCCCCTCTCCATCTTCCTCTTCATCATCTTCATCCTCGTCTTCATCGTCTGAGGAGAGAGCAGCACAGGTGAGAAAGCAGCGACTACCTTTATTTTTTACTTCTTAAATATGTTTTATTGAAGGAATCTGTCGATCTGTAAATCTAATAGAAATACATATATGCAAAAATATATATAAATGTAATAAATTGAAATATAAATTCACAACAAAAATATATATAAATAAAACGGCAACATGTATAGCCTAGTGTTGTCACGATACCAATATTTTGGTTTCGATACCGATACCAAGTCAAGAATTGCGATTCCGATTATTTTTCGATACTTTTCTTAAAAAAAGGGAAAGTCATAAATGTAATTATTGTGCTTTATTTCACACCAGAACAGAACCATGACACAAACGTTTAAACAATGAGAACATTAAATTAAATAAATGACAAGAATTCGTATTAAATACAAATAAGCATCATCTCAAACTACTTTTTTGTCAAAATAGATTTGTATATTAAACAACAGAAATTACATTCAACACAATGAGGTCTCCGACAAAAAATACAACATAACCTCACTGTCAGAGATATAGCTCAAATACTTCCAAATTTAGCTTCTGGCGTCTTTGTTGTCAACAAGCCGAGGCGCAGCGGCACTTGCACTCCCACTTGCAGCCATGCTTCTCGTTTTCTCACATGCTCTGGCAGCTAGCGCGTGCACGAGAGAGGGGAGGCACTTATAGCGTGCTTGAGAGGGGAGGGACTTAGAGCGTGCTTGAGAGGGGAGGGACTTAGAGCGTGCTTGAGAGGGGAGGCACTTAGAGCGTGCTTGAGAGGGGAGGCACTTAGAGCGTGCACGAGAGAGGGGAGGGACTTAGAGCGTGCTTGAGAGGGGAGGGACTTAGAGCGTGCTTGAGAGGGGAGGGACTTAGAGCGTGCTTGAGAGGGGCGGGACTGCAGGCACGGCTGCAGTGCAGGGAGTGGAAGCAGAGCGCTGAACACACACGGCTCTTATTAAAACAGCGCTTTCTCACCGGAGTACTTTCCCCCGTCATTCTTAAAGTACCGATACTAATGAAACGGAGGAATCGTACCGTTTTTAACGGCAGGGTATCGCAGTACCTTTCAAGTATCGGTACACCGTGCAACACTAGTATAGCCTCAATGTCCTGAAATAGCTGAATAAGTTAATAGTTGAATGGTTTATAGCTGAAAGTAGGCTGAAGGAGTTACATATGAAATGTAAGTAGTAGTGAATGAATGTTTACAAACACCTGTGTGTGTAAGCCCAGAGATCAAAGGTTACCACGGTGACTACAATATCAAAACACCCGTTTACGTAAGCCCAGAGATCAAAGGTTTCCATGGAGATGTGCTGTGAAAGGAGAGCCTTTCCATTTGATCTGAAGGAGAATTTTTGACAAGTTTTTCTCTCTTCATGCCCTCAAGAGGCATTTTGTTTAATATTCTTTTTTATCTTCCAACCTAGGAGGTTTTCCTACGTTTCCCAGGAACAATTATGTCTGAGGAGTGTAGGGTTTGGGAATTATGGCAAGTTTAAAACGTTTTTTTGGGAGAATTTCAAGCACTGCTCCACTCTGTTTTGAGATCAAAGCACTCTAGACTTAACGAGCTGCTCCATCCACTCCAATGTTAACATCTGAAAAAGGCCTCTCTGCTAAGCTCCAAACTAAATTCAATATCTCAAAAAGTTTAAAAGATATCAAAAATCTGAATAAATGTTATAGCTAAAGGTTTTGTGATCATTTTAAAGCTGGATTGAAGTCTCTAGCTGAAAGTATGTGGAAGGAGAAGCATTTGGCGCAAGGTGTAGGAAAAGAGGATTTGAAGGCTCCCATTGACTTCAATGTTAAAAAAAGAGTTTAAAAAGCTGAATATTTCAAAAAGTATAAAATATTTTGAAAAAGTTGAGGGTTTCTCATCGATTGCTGAAAAGGCTGAATAGTTTAATATTTGAATGGTTTCTGCAGCTGAAAGTAAGCTGAAGTTATGGAGTGCTAAAGTATTGGTTGATTTGAAGATCTTTTTTTAACATTGAAGTCAATGGGAGCCTTCAAATCCTCTTTTCCTACACCTTGCGCTAAATGCTTCTCCTTCCACATACTTTCAGCTAGAGACTTCAATCCAGCTTTAAAATGATCACAAAACCTTTAGCTATAAAACTTATTCAGATTTTTCATATCTTTTAAACTTTTTGAGATATTGAATTTAGTTTGGAGCTTAGCAGAGAGCCCTTTTTCAGATGTTAACATTGGAGTGGATGGAGCAGCTCGTTAAGTCTAGAGTGCTTTGATCTCAAAACAGAGTGGAGCAGTGCTTGAAATTCTCCCAAAAAAACGTTTTAAACTTGCCATAATTCCCAAACCCTACACTCCTCAGACATAATTGTTCCTGAGAAACGTAAGAAAACCTCTCCTAGGTTGGAAGATAAAAAAGAATTAAGAAAACATATGAAACAAAATGCCTCTTGAGGGCATGAAGTGACAAAAAGTCCACCTAGCTCTCATTAGACTCCATGTAAACAATTTCTGGAACTTTCTTCAGAACAGAGAGAAGTACACTTTAGACAAACTGCTCCCATCTCCACATTTTACACACAAACCAAAAAACTATTTCAGTTCTTTGGGGTTCCCTGATGCTCACGGTCTGCTCATTTGTTGAAAGGAGCAATCGTTTTTGAACAGGTGGCCAAATTGTCAGATATAATACTCAATGCATTCTTAATGAGACTCAGTGCTGCAGTTGGTTGCCATGGTGTTGCTGGGCAGATTGAAACCTTTGATCTCTGGGCTCACACAGGTGGATCCATCTCTCTCTCTCTCGTCTCTCACCCTGCAGGAAGTCGAGGCTCTTCAGCGCTCGGCCCTCCTTCGTGAATTCAACGCTGAAGTGATCCATGTTCTCATATCCTCGCTCCACTTTATCCAGATGAGCCGTGCTGCAGGCGTCCGTGAGCCTGGAGAGAGACAGCTGGATCAGAATCTATTGATCAGACTCAATCTATTGATCCCAGATCGGGGAGTAGCTTTTAACCCCTTTGCACCCGGCACTCTCCCGGTCAAATTGTCTCGAGACATTGAGGTCTAAAAACATTTAAGAATAATTTGTGATAAAGTTATGTGTAAAAAAAAAGCCACAACGGAAATAATGTCCACATTTTGCACCCGTTTGAACCGTTAAATATAAAGTCTCTAATACATATCTTCTTCATCTTAATTCCTAACAACATATGAAGCGTCTATGAATAGTGTTTGCAAATTCTCAAGTAGAGGTGAAAATAAGTTTCATTTATGTTAAAGTTTTATGTAAAAACCCACCTCCAAAATAATAAAGACTGCATCCAACAATATATAAATAACATGGAATCAGATCAGACTGACTCGAGACATCATTGAGGTCGAAACACATTCAGGAGAATCGTTGGTGATAAAGTGAAAAGTAAAATATAGTTCAGCTCGAGGAGTTCAAACAGCTAAGGAGTTATTAGGATGATATCACGGTCTGCACTCCAGCTGCACGCATCAGAGCAGGAACACACAACAGTTGCTGTCATGATATCAAATACACATTTAAATGTTACTTGTCATGCATTTTGCAGACTGTTCGACGTCTCTGTTTCCATGGTGATAAAGTGATGTGTTAGAATCACCTCCACAATAATAAAGACTGCAGAAGACATTACAGTTTGAGTTCAGTCCCAGTTGGAGTGCTTTTCATCGAGGTGTTGTTTTCTCTTTCTATCAGACTGATCAGAGTTACTCCTGGAAGTCTCTCAGAGCAGGTTTCCATCTGAACAAAGAGAGAGCAGCTGCAGTCGCACACCTCCGTTTCTAGTAACTCCGGTAGCAGCTGGAGGGCGGAGCACACATTAGATTCCACGTCGTTACTCTGAATATCCCACAAGTTACTTCTTCTTGACTTCAGATGACATTTGGTTATCTTCTTTTAATTACTAGACATCTGATAAAGACATGTACTCACTTTTTGAGCAGAGGCTTGGTGTTCTGTAGGAGAAGCAGAAACACACACGTGGCGTCACACACTGATCTCCACGTGTTTCATCATTTCAACCGGATTTCATTCAGTCTGAAAGAACTTCATATTCTACTTACATGTATAAAGACTTCTTGCACTACTTGTTATTGTATTTGATTATATATGTTGCATCGTTGGAGGAGCTCAGGTCAGAAGGATCTCATTGATTCACAGATTGACAGGTGTTATTGTCATATGCTCATAAGCTACAGTATAGAAGTAACACAAATAGAAAACAGAATATGATCTATACAAGAACAGAATGTAACGTTAACTATTGTACATTATAACAAAAGCAGATCGGGTTGTTGCAGTGATAAAGATAAATGAGGAAAGAAGCCTTTGAGGAACATCTGTTAGAACTTGGTGTTAACTGTTGATGTCACCGAGTAGATTACAAAATGGAGGCACGTCACAGAGCTCAGGTGTGTGTGTGTGTGTGTGTGTGTGTGTGTGTGTGTGTGTGTGTGTGTGTGTGTGTGTGTGTGTGTGTGTGTGTGTGTGTGTGTGTGTGTGTGTGTGTGTGTGTGTGTTTGTGTGTGTGTGTATCAGAGTTCCCGTTAGCCGGTAATTACCGGACTACGACCGGTAAAATATGCTGAAGACCGGCAAATCTAAATCTCTCCGGTCAAAGTGTCCGTTCAAAAATAATTTCCATTTAGCGCAATACCATCAGTTGCGCAACTTGCGCCATTTATGTGACAGACAAGAAGAGTCAATTCTAATGTCTAACACTTAATGTGGAGAAAGAGATGTCCTGGATGGGTTGATTGTGCGTTGATCTGTTGGTAATGCCTCAGGGTTCCGGTGGGCATGTAAACAAATGCATAATGCTGCGCTATACTTTGCGGCCTCACCCAGTTGCATAGCGACACTTATTGTTTAGGTGTCTTTTAATAAGCAGGTAGTCATATCATTAGCTAGAACTAGCTGGATCTGATCGATATGGACATAAACGAGAGTCTAATCTGACGGGAGAGAGAGATCAGCTGCTGCTGACGAGTCGACACGCAGCTCTGCATGATCACATGCAGCGGTGAGCGGAACAAACACACACTTCAGGTTAGAATATCACACGCAGCTATTTTAATGACCTCTCAAACTACCGTAACTAGTTATAGATATGTTTAGTTTTACTGTCGGGTCACTCATTACTGATCCACGAGCTGCGTGATACTGACGGGCTGTCAGGAGAGGGAGAGCGCTCCGTTTATTGTTCCCGTGTTATTGTAAGTTACTGTTCACTTTTGAACAATGTAGTTAATCTACTATCATTAGTTTGTTTAATATCGAATCATCAATTTGTTTTAAAGCACAATAAATAACAAAGAAGACCTTTGACCGGCACTTTTCAAATTGTGTCCGGAAGATTTAAACTTTAACGGACATGTTGACCGGCGAACAAATATTCTAATGGGAACTCTGGTGTGTGTGTGTGTGTGTGTGTGTGTGTGTGTGTGTGTGTGTGTGTGTGTGTGTGTGTGTGTGTGTGTGTGTGTGTGTGTGTGTGTGTGTGTGTGTGTGTGTGTGTGTGTGTGTGTGTGTGTGTGTGTGTGTGTGTGTGTGTGTGTGTGTGTGTGTGTGTGTGTGTGTGTGTGTGTGTGTGTGTGTGTCCGGGTCTCACCTGCAGGAACAGAGCCATCTCCGGCTCCTCCATGTTCTGGATGCCGTGCTCCACCATCTTGCAGCTCTCCTCCAGATGTTCTCCGTACTTCTTGTTCAGTCCTCTGATGTACGTCAGCTTCTCGTCCTGCTCCGACGTCACTTTCTGACTCATGTCTCTCTTCTTCCCCTCCAACGCCGAGTACAGGAGGTCGAACTTCTCACACACCAGAGTCTTCTGCCGCCGGCCGTTCTCCTACACACACACACACACACACACGCACGCACACACACACACACACACACACACACACACACACACACACACACACACACACACACACACACACACACACACACACACACACACACACACACACACACACACAGGGGTCAGACCAATGCAATTTGTTCTACTTCCACTGTCTTATCAGTGTTAAGACTCCTCCTCACTACCGCCACCTGCTGCAGGTGAACTTCAGGTGAACAGGTGACAATGTTGTCTTAATGTGTGTAGAGATCCGGCCTGCAGTGTGTGTGTGTGTGTGTGTGTGTGTGTGTGTGTGTGTGTGTGTGTGTGTGTGTGTGTGTGTGTGTGTGTGTGTGTGTGTGTGTGTGTGTGTGTGTGTGTGTGTGTGTGTGTGTGTGTGTGTGTGTGACCTCTATGACCCTGCAGGCCTCCTCCAGCTGGCTGACGATGCCCTGCATGCGGTCGTTGTTCCCGACCATCATTGCGATCCCGTCACTCAGCTCCGACTGAGAGGAAAACACGGAGAGATGAGGATGAGGATGAGGAGGAGGAGGAGGAGGAGGAGGAGGAGGAGGAGGAGGAGGAGGAGGAGGAGGAGGAGGAGGAGGAGGAGGAGGAGGAGGAGGAGGAGGGAGGAGGAGGAGGAGGAGGAGGAGGAGACGTTACAGTAGAGATTTCAATGTGAGGCGTTCACAGTGAACGCACCAAACACACACCAAGGAGCTCCCCATGCATGATACAACGTACATCTCTCATGCACTTCGCAGCCTGCTGTTACCTTCTTGGTCTGGAAGACGCTGGAGATGGGCGCCACCTCGCAGTCTTTGTGCTCTCCGAACACTTTGCACATGGAGCAGGTGGGCACGCCGTGCGTCACGCAGTAGATGTTGATCTTCTCTCCCTCGTGCACGACACACATCGGAGACTCCTCCTTCCTCTCGGAGGCCGGCGTGCTGCTGCTGCTGCTGGGGAGGAAACACACCGACAATCACCTCAAAGAGACACAATAAATAACCCAAGATGTTATTTATTATCTATGTGATGTTTTCATTCAATTAAAACACTGTGACCTCAGATGATGACTCACTGACACTAAACACTGATGCATGAGATGTCAAAAGTACATCCTTTACTGAAGTAGAAGTACACATACTCGTGTTTAAAAATACTCTGGTAAAAGTAGAAGTACTGACTAAACTTCTTTCCTCAAGTCAAACTAAAGTACTTTGAAATGTACTAAAGTAAAAAGTACCCATAACTAGCAGCTGCTTTAAAGAGTACCTGACCTCCCTTTATATTATTAGAACAATAATGTCATTGTTAGCTAATGAATGTTTCCATGCTGAACAACGGCAACATGACAACGTTTCCATTGGTCCCTCTTCTTTAGAGAAGACCAGGAAATGATGGATACACGGATCGTGTTCAAATCAATAGGCACGCAATGACTCTAAGAATATGATCACGCATCAAACACACATTCAGACTAAAGGAACCAGCTGTTTGGGAAATGAGAGAAGTAGAAAGTACAAGTATTTGAGTTCAACATGTAAGAAGTAGAAAGTACAGGGTATTTGGTTCCATGGTAAGCAAGTGAAAAGTAGCAGTATTTGAGTTCAAAACATGTAAGAAGTAGAAAGTACAGGTATTTGATGTTCAACAGGTAAGAAGTAGAAAGTACAGGTATTTGAGTTCAACTGTAAGAAGTAGAAGTACAGGTATTGAGTTCAATGTAAGTAGAAAGTACAGGTATTTGAAGTTCAACATGTAAGAAGTAGAAAGTACAGGTATTTGTGTTCAACATGTAAGAAGTAGAAAGTACAGGTATTTGTGTTCAACATGTAAGAAGTAGAAAGTACAGGTATTTGAGTTCAACATGTAAGAAGTAGAAAGTACAGGTATTTGTGTTCAACATGTAAGAAGTAGAAAGTACAGATATTTGAGTTCAACATGTAAGAAGTAGAAAGTACAGGTATTTGAGTTCAACATGTAAGAAGTAGAAAGTACAGGTATTTGTGTTCAACATGTAAGAAGTAGAAAGTACAGGTATTTTGTGTTCAACATGTAAGAAGTAGAAAGTACAGGTATTTGAGTTCAACATGTAAGAAGTAGAAAGTACAGGTATTTGAGTTCAACATGTAAGAAGTAGAAAGTACAGGTATTTGAGTTCAACATGTAAGAAGTAGAAAGTACAGGTATTTGAGTTCAACATGTGAGAAGTAGAAAGTACAGGTATTTGAGTTCAACATGTAAGAAGTAGAAAGTACAGGTATTTGAGTTCAACATGTAAGAAGTAGAAAGTACAGGTATTTGAGTTCAACATGTAAGAAGTAGAAAGTACAGGTATTTGAGTTCAACATGTAAGAAGTAGAAAGTACAGGTATTTGAGTTCAACATGTAAGAAGTAGAAAGTACAGGTATTTGAGTTCAACATGTGAGAAATAGAAAGTACATGTAAGAAGTAGAAAGTACAGGTATTTGAGTTCAACATGTGAGAAGTAGAAAGTACAGGTATTTGAGTTCAACATGTAAGAAGTAGAAAGTACAGGTATTTGAGTTCAACATGTAAGAAGTAGAAAGTACAGGTATTTGTGTTCAACATGTGAGAAGTAGAAAGTACAGGTATTTGAGTTTCAACATGTAAGAAGTAGAAAGTACAGGTATTTGAGTTCAACATGTAAGAAGTAGAAAGTACAGGTATTTGAGTTCAACATGTAAGAAGTAGAAAGTACAGGTATTTGAGTTCAACATGTGAGAAGTAGAAAGTACAGGTATTTGAGTTCAACATGTAAGAAGTAGAAAGTACAGGTATGTGAGTTCAACATGTAAGAAATAGAAAGTACAGGGTACATGTTGAGTTAACAGGTATTGAGTTCACATGTAGAAGTAGAAAGTACAGGTATTTGAGTTCAACATGTAAGAAGTAGAAAGTACAGGTATTTGGGTTCAACATGTAAGAAGTAGAAAGTACAGGTATTTGAGTTCAACATGTAAGAAGTAGAAAGTACAGGTATTTGAGTTCAACATGTAAGAAGTAGAAAGTACAGGTATTTGGGTTCAACATGTAAGAAGTAGAAAGTACAGGTATTTGAGTTCAACATGTTAGAAGTAGAAAGTACAGGTATTTGGGTTCAACATGTGAGAAGTAGAAAGTAAAGGTATTTGAGTTCAACATGTATGAAGTAGAAAGTACAGGTATTTGAGTTCAACATGTAAGAAGTAGAAAGTACAGGTATTTGAGTTCAACATGTAAGAAGTAGAAAGTACAAGTATTTGTGTTCAACATGTGAGAAGTAGAAAGTACAGGTATTTGTGTTCAACATGTAAGAAGTAGAAAGTACAGGTATTTGAGTTCAACATGTAAGAAGTAGAAAGTACAGGTATTTGAGTTCAACATGTAAGAAGTAGAAAGTACAGGTATTGAGTTCAACATGTGAGAAGTAGAAAAGTACAGGTATTTGAGTTCAACATGTAAGAAGTAGAAAGTACAGGTATTTGAGTTCAACATGTAAGAAGTAGAAAGTACAGGTATTTGAGTTCAACATGTAAGAAGTAGAAAGTACAAGTATTTGAGTTCAACATGTAAGAAGTAGAAAGTACAGGTATTTGGGTTCAACATGTAAGAAGTAGAAAGTACAGGTATTTGAGTTCAACATGTAAGAAGTAGAAAGTACAGGTATTTGAGTTCAACATGTAAGAAGTAGAAAGTACAAGTATTTGTGTTCAACATGTGAGAAGTAGAAAGTACAGGTATTTGAGTTCAACATGTAAGAAGTAGAAAGTACAGGTATTTGAGTTCAACATGTAAGAAGTAGAAAGTACAGGTATTTGAGTTCAACATGTGAGAAGTAGAAAGTACAGGTATTTGAGTTCAACATGTGAGAAGTAGAAAGTACAGGTATTTGAGTTCAACATGTAAGAAGTAGAAAGTACAGGTATTTGAGTTCAACATGTAACAAGTAGAAAGTACAGGTATTTGTGTTCAACATGAAAGAAGTAGAAAGTACAGGTATTTGGGTTCAACATGTGAGAAGTAGAAAGTACAGGTATTTGTGTTCAACATGAAAGAAGTAGAAAGTACAGGTATTTGTGTTCAACATGAAAGAAGTAGAAAGTACAGGTATTTGTGTTCAACATGAAAGAAGTAGAAAGTACAGGTATTTGTGTTCAACATGTGAGAAGTAGAAAGTACAGGTATCTGTGTTCAACATGTAAGAAGTAGAAAGTACAGGTATTTGAGTTCAACATGTAAGAAGTAGAAAGTACAGGTATTTGAGTTCAACATGTAAGAAGTAGAAAGTACAGGTATTTGAGTTCAACATGTAAGAAGTAGAAAAGTACAGGTATTTGAGTTCAACATGTAAGAAGTAGAAAGTACAGGTATTTGAGTTCAACATGTAAGAAGTAGAAAGTACAGGTATTTGAGTTCAACATGTAAGAAGTAGAAAGTACAGGTATTTGGGTTCAACATGTAAGAAGTAGAAAGTACAGGTATTTGAGTTCAACATGTAAGAAGTAGAAAGTACAGGTATTTGAGTTCAACATGTAAGAAGTAGAAAGTACAGATTTGGGTTCAACATTGTAGAAGTAGAAAAGTACAGGTATTTGAGTTCAACATGTAAGAAGTAGAAAGTACAGGTATTTGAGTTCAACATGTAAGAAGTAGAAAGTACAGGTATTTGAGTTCAACATGTAAGAAGTAGAAAGTACAGGTATTTGGGTTCAAAATGTAAGAAGTCAAAGTAAAAAGTCGTCTGTACTGATACCAGAAAAATGTACTAAAGTAACAAAGTATTTGTACTCCAATACTTCAGCCTATTGATGAGTGATGTCAGGGTGAAATGTCACATGAACAGAGCAGTTATTGATCATCCTTCAGCTCTGATCGATAACACTGAGCAGGTGTATGATGGATTTATGAATAACTGACTCTCTTCTTCCCATACCAATGACTCAGGGCTTTATGTGGACGACCAATCAGAGGAGACACTGAATGTGGTCGATTAAATCAATAAATTCCTCAGTGTGTGTAACCTTTGACGCCACGGAGACGTGATTGAAGATGGGCTTTTATTGTGAAAGGTAAACACAGATATCTCCATCATCTGGATCTTTTTTAATGACACACCTACACTTTTTATTTATGGAGAGATTACTGAGATATCAGTCACCAGGGGATGCCACCACAAAGAGTCATCGAATAACTGTAAAGGATGCAAGACGACTAAAAAGAGATGCAGAATGTGTGTGTGTGTGTGTGTGTGTGTGTGTGTGTGTACCTGCTGGTCTCCTGTTTGAACATGTCGATGATATTCTCCACCAGCAGGTTCCTCTGCAGACCGTAGACTCCGTGGCGATCCAGAACCACCTCATGTCTGCAGGAGGGACAGCGGAACCTTCCACCAGAAGAAATAGATCCTCCTCTGGTGGGGAGGTAGGGGTTAGAGGCCTACACACACACACCCACACACAGAGAGAGACACACACACACACACACACATACACACACAGAGACACACACACACACACACACACACACAAAGAGAGACACACACACACAACACACACACAGAGAGAGAGAGAGACACACACACACACAGAGAGACACACACACACACACACACACACACACACACAAAGAGAGACACACACACACACAACACACACACAGAGAGAGAGAGACACACACACACACACACACACACATACACACACACACATACACACACACACACACACACACACGTTGATTTCTTTAGATATCTTGTATCACACATTTTTACAACAACAACAAATAACTGGTACCTTAGAGACTGACATGTAGTCTGAATCAACAGACAGTATATTTAGGTTTTTAAATGTGTAAATATTGTCACAATCGTCACTAGAACAACACTTCTACTTTGTGAGGTTTTGTGTCATTATTATTCCCCCAAAGAAGCTTCAGTTGCGTCCGGAAGCACGTTCTGGTGATATGAGCATCAGATGCTGCAAACTACACGTGACCGTATACAAGCAGGAGAATATAACCTCACAAAAAGGGAAAACTAAAATAATGGAAGTTCCAATTCTTTACGATCTGCAGCATTTGGTAACACTTGATTTTGATAGTCCATAGTTAACACTCTATAAGTCATCAGTAGCATGGCAACAGGTTATTAGCCGATATTCAACCTTACTATCTGTTGATTGGGTCAACATCTTCAAAATTGACAAACTACTCAAAATCAATCTGTCAGTTGAAAGTCAACAGCTGACTATCTGCTGATAATCTGCTGAGTCAAGATGTCAACTAAAGATTACATTAAGCATTAGTTGATCAACAGATAAGCAGCTTTACAGTTTAGTTGACTATCTGTTGATCGTCAACTAATCTAGAGTTGACTATCAGTATACTTATAGTAGGCATTCTCCACTAAGCGTTTGGAGGCATGTGTGACCAGAGTTGGGTGTAACAATATTACTTTTGTCGGTAACGGAGTAGTGTAACGCGCTACTTTTATAATACAGTAATCACTAGTTACTAACATTTCCCCGACACGCGTTACTTCGTTACTTACTAAAATCAGTCATAATCACACTGACAGACAAGAGGGGTTTCCGCCGCAGGTTTATGTGTACGTAATCTGCGCGCGCGTCCACATCTCCGCGCGCAGTGCTGCATGAACATGGCTGAGTCAGCGGTAACTCTCGAGGGGTGGAGGCAAGGGCGCCGGAAGCGGGGGGGCCAGGGGGCCATTGGCCCCCCCACTTTACGGCCCTGCCCCACATTTTCGCAGCAGCGGATGCCGCGGAACCCTGTACACATCCCGTTTCAATAACTCCCCTCTTCTCTAAAGTCGCATCTAAAAAGAACGCCATCTGATCTAGCTGTGTATATTTAGTTATTGTTGATTGTTATATTCAGTCTCAGTAGCTACAGGCATGTTTGAAGCTTGTAAAGGGAAGATGACAGCTCGCCTCTCACTCGCCACTCTGCTCTTCTACAGCGTCGCCCCCCTCCCTCCGCTGACATTATGAATGTAAGGCATAGTAATCATAGATAACACGGCAGGGTCCGTTACAGTTTGTTTTCATCTGATTTCAAATAAACAAAGTCTTGGCTTTCAGAATATTAAACTTGTTTCGGCAAATTCAGATGATAAATACAGCTTTGAAGCTTCGGCATAATTACAAGCGGAGAACGGAGTAATTTGACGTCACAGCAGGCATAACAACAGCCGGTGTTTCTGGTGAGTGTTTTCCCCGGGAAACAAACACAATACACACAAACACACACACATGGTATACACGCACACACACACACACTCGCGAGCTTCCCCCAGACCAGTAATCCAAACGGAAATATCTTCCCTCCGTACTACTTTGATCATTTGCTCCGCTAATAACCAATCAGATCGATGGATTCCAGAGAAGAGGAAACTTTAAGGCCTTTTTCTCAAAATGATGACTCGGTGATAGTCATTATATAATGTGACATATTTTGCTTAATATAGTACAAAAACAATCCTGATATCATTAGAAAGCTAGGAATCTCCTCTTTCCAACATTGTATATAACTCAAAATGTGTCTTCGGATCAATGCGACTGACTTCGATGGAGCAGGTAACTTTGCATTAGGTAGAATACAGCAGGCAGACATAACAGGAAGAATATGTACATTTTAATCCAATCAAATAGGACATTGTCACACCATTCAAATGTATCCATGTACATTACAACCAATAACAAAGCTTAGATGTGTTTATTTGTTACGTTGTTTACGTTATGTGTTACGTTGTTCAGTGTGTGTTACGTTGTTCAGTGTGTGTCAGCCGTTAACCTGGATAGATAAACTTGCAAACATGTCAGAAGAACCGGCGCATAAGAAAACAAAATACAGTCAAACTAAGCTGAAATTCAACAACTTGAATGTCACATCCCTGACATCCACAACTCCGGAGCCTGGTCCTTCAACCATAGAACCAGCTCCAGAACCTGGTCCTTCAACCATAGAACCAGCTCCAGAACCTGGTCCTTCAACCATAGAACCAGCTCCGGAGCCTGGTCCTTCAACCATAGAACCAGCTCCAGAACCTGGTCCTTCAACCATAGAACCAGCTCCGGAGCCTGGTCCTTCAACCATAGAACCACCTCCGGAGCCTGGTCCTTCAACCATAGAACCAGCTCCGGAGCCTGGTCCTTCAACCATAGAACCAGCTCCGGAGCCTGGTCCTTCAACCATAGAACCACCTCCGGAGCCTGGTCCTTCAACCATAGAACCAGCTCCGGAGCCTGGTCCTTCAACCATAGAACCAGCTCCGGAGCCTGGTCCTTCAACCACAGAACCACCTCCAGAGCCTGGTCCTTCAACCATAGAACCAGCTCCAGAGCATGGTCCTTCAACCATAGAACCAGCTCCGGAGCCTGGTCCTTCAACCATAGAACCAGCTCCGGAGCCTGGTCCTTCAACCATAGAGCCAGCTCCGGAGCCTGGTCCTTCAACCATAGAGCCAGCTCCGGAGCCTGGTCCTTCAACCATAGAGCCAGCTCCAGAGCCTGGTCCTTCAACCATAGAACCAGCGCAGCCAGATGAACCCCAGCAGCAGCTCTGCGGCCGCAGAGGCTGTCAAAACCGCTGCCGCCGGCATCGTTGAACCGAAACAGGCTGGTTCCGACTACATGGAGGTTTGTTGTCGGGACATTGAGACGGGACAATAAAAGCTTATTTAGGCAAAGAGAAGGTACTTCAATGCAGAATGGTACAAAAACAGAGAGTGGTTCATTATTTGCAAAACCACTAAACGAGCCTTCTGTGAAATATGCAGATGTGATGCTGTCAAACGGCTTGTAACTTTCTCCAAATGTGGAGATGACAGCTTTGTAAATACCGAGTTAATAACTGGAACTTTTCACAGAGCTTACTTCAGTCAAACACCAGTCAACATTCAGCTTGTCAAACAAGAGCGTAGCAGGAAACAAGGAGAGATGGAATGATGTGTGGGTCTGTATAGTTTAATGTACAGGAAAGGAGTGAGCAGAGGGTTGAGTTGTCCATTCTTGTTCTGTTTTCTCTGACCATCTTCCTCCTGAAGACCCTCTCAGACTTTCATTTGCTCGCGCTACTAAAGAGACACGTTACCATGGAAACCAAACAATGGTGTAGCTGTATTGAAGTCCGAGTGGAAACAGTAACATTTGGTGCGTTATGTTAGAATGAAACAAATCAGATTTAGTCATAAATCGGGAGAAATGCGGGATAAATATGACCCCGGGAGGAAAACGGGAGTCTCCCGCGAAAATCGTGAGGGTTGGCAAGTAGGATATGCCACATACACACGCACTTTTTGGCCCCCCCACTTCTGAAATGAATCCGGCGCCGCTGGGTGGAGGTCTGCCCATTACTTTGAGTTCGTCCAAAGAATAGACAGGAATGTGACGGTGAGGTGCAAACTGTGTCCAGGCCAGAAGCTGTTATCCACTGCTGGAAACACCACGTGGTCAAACCTCAACAAGCACCTGCAAAGAACACATGCTAACGTGAAGCAAACGCACACGCTATTTGTTGTGTGTTTATATCACGTTGTCTGTTCTTCTTCTCTGTTTTCCGGTTGTTGCCTGTTTTGAATGACGAATACACACTACCGCTGTCAGTACCAGATATGTTCGGGCTACCAGATATGTTCGGGTGTATTTCCGTCGCATCCGTCATCCGTCATATTCGTCATATTTTACGGCAACTCAAGAGGGCCATCACGGTCAAATTCCGAACATTTAAACATAGCAAACACTTCATTCTTTACTTTGTCCGTTATTATATGTAGAAGATTATACTTTTTCTCCGTCATGTTGTTTCCTTAGCAACAACTTCAAACAGGCATAGCCTACACTTCATTCTTTACTTTGTCCGTTATTATATGTAGAAGATATTCATTTTGTCTCCGTCATGTTGTTTCCATAGAAACAACTTCAAACAATAACAACTAACCGCTAGCCGCAAAGCTAGCTTCACAGCCACTGCTCCGTTTTCGGAGACTTTGCACACGTTTTTCACAAACATTTTCACACGCTAGGAGTACTTCCACTAGCTTCGTCTTGATGTGTAGATGTGATTTGATGTGTCCCCCAACTCCTCTCCAAAGTTCAGATATTTAATAAAATACTCAGGGGAGTTTCCTGAATTTTCATGCCCAAAGCCAAGCACTAGGCCCTGGGTAAATTAAGAGGCTGATCTCGGGCACTTTTGTCCACTTTCCCTGGTGGTCGAAACTCAAGCCAGACATCCCTGGAATCGTCTCAGAGAGTAGATGATCAGTGGGGCCTTGTTTTTACTGAATGATGTGTTTTTTTATGGGGAATTCAAATATGAGCTTATTTTTAGGATTTTCGGAGACTTTGCACACGTTTTCACAAACATTTTCACGCTAGGAGTATGGGAGTACTTCCATTCGCTTCGCCTTGATCTGTAGA